GCACGGCAAAGGATACTGGAGAGCCGCTTCTGGGTGCCTGGCTTTCGGCCGGGTCTGGCCGCCTCTGTCTCACGGGGGGACAACACGTCTCCGAAGTCGTGTCTGCGGGACGGCAGCACAGAGAGAGCGTAAGCAAAGGGATCCCAAGGGGATGCGGAGCAGCCGCCAAACAAGGCCCCGGCGCCGCAGCCCCCACCTCTCCATAACGGCCGCACCRCTCCCGCCTTCCCGCCGCCGCGGCCCGGAAGGGAAAGCGGCATTTCCGCCCGGGCGCCGTGGGCGCCGCCGCACCGCGCATGCGCCGCGCGGCACGGGCGGCTCCGCGCATGCGCGGCGGGAGGCGGCGGCCGTTAGGGCGGCGTGTCGACCCCGTGCTCCCTCCTCCCGCCGGGGAGCCGTTAACGGCGGCGCCGCAGCTCCCTGCGGGCTCCCCGCCGCCCGTGCGCGGAGCCGGGGGCTGCTCCCCGAGCTCGCCGCTGCGCCTCAGCTTGCGCTCACAAACTCCTAAATTAAAGACAATGAAATTTTTTTCTCCCCACTGGAATAACTCCAGTTATTCCAGGCTGGCTGCCGCTGGCAAGAGATGGTGGTGGGCGCACGGGAAAGCCGCAGAGCTGGCAGCGGGAGCCGCGAGTGCCCCCGGGCCCCAGCTGCAGCTACAGTTACCAGGGATGTCCAAGAGATGGGTCAGGCCTTTGAACTCCTGGGGCAGAGAAATTCCTCCTAGAGCGGCGGGTCCGGGACGAAGAGCCGCCCGAGGCAGCGGGGCTGTTGGCCGTCTCTGGCTCTGCGGGAGCTGCCCTGAGCTGCTCGTAAAATGGTTGGTCCTGGTTTGTCCTGGAGCCGCCGCAGAGCTGAAGCCCAGGAGGGTCCGTGCGGAGGGGACTCGGGGACTGTTACCCCTGTCCTAGACGCTTAACACTTTTAGCTTCGCTGGAGCTCTTCACGGGGCAGGGTAGCAATAGACGCTGAATTTAAGTTTGTATAAAAACTGATAATCCCAACCCAGTTTCACMTATTTCCATCAACATGGATCCTAGGTGCAGCCCTCATGTGGAGTGTGTTTACTAGATACACTAGGTTAAAGCTAGCTGTAATGTTAGCTTTAAAATTAGATTCCAGTACAGTCCATTCATCATTACCCTAATACATTGTAGAGATGCAAACATGACATTAACATACACAAAATTCAAGACACTCTTAACTATCAAAAGTAATAAGAAAAATTGTGTAAAGTGACARCAACAAGCATAGCTTAGCTGAGCTTGAAGTACAAAGAAAACCATGGAATCCCCATTGTGTCGTGTTTCCTTTTAAGAATGAATTTTGTCATGTTTTAGCCCTTTTTCTCCTAGTTCAAACATTCCTAAAGCTTTCTGATTCCTCACATGTCTTTAAGCATGAACTCTGTCCCTGCCCCAAGCTCAGGACTGGAACCGTATCTTGCTTGCATTAAAAGGTCAGCGTTGACGCTCAGGTCTGAGAGAACTGTCCTGAATGGATTTTGACTCCTGCCCCTGTCCATGCAGTTCAGCTGAGTCTAAGGCAGGAAGACCAGGTAAGTGTCATTCGATTTGTGCCTGAAAACAACAGCACAGGTAACGAGCTCCACTTCATAGAGCTGGGATTTCAGATGGAGATTTTCATACTCTCACTGTGACTGAGGTTGCTAAATGCTCCCTGCTAGATCTAGAAGTAAATGGTGAAAATACCACATACTATGAAAAGATAAAAGCACACTGACCAAAAGAACTAGAATTTCCACTATATCTGAAGTCTGAATCTGAGATTGGAGACAACATACCAAAAGTTTATTGTAGTCCATCCCCCACACTCCCCAAAAAATCATGAATTACAGTTTCCTTCAAATGAGGTAGCCCACACCACTCCTGAAAAAAAAWWAAAAAATAAAAAATAAATAGAAAAAGAAAACCTGGTGGCACTTCCTTGAACCATCAAAGCTGCAGACCTTGCCGTTAGACCYAACTAGCTTTTCTTAAGGCTAAAGTGACTGAGTACGGATTTTYATTTATTTTTTATTTGTGTAAAGTGGAATTCTGAAAGCCTTTCTCTCTCCATTCAACCTCCGCCAAACAGCTGGAAATTCTGAAGATGCTTGTTTTGCCCTTCCTTTTTTAAACTCTCTGAAAATATTTGTTTGGAGCTCAAATATTGCAAGAGGGAACAAAATAAGAATACAAAACATAGCTCTGACTGTACTTCCCAACAGAGAATATAAATAAAAGTCAGTCAAGCACCATTCCAAAGTTTTACTTTATGTAACAGAAATTAAATAGGATTTGAAGAATTAAGTTCATAAAACTCAAAAACAAAAGAAAAGGGAGCTCAAGACTCAGAAATAAGAATTTAATCAAATTAAGATTTCTGTTTGTCTAAAGTTGCTTTAGAGAACTATACACACCTCTGCTTCACTACATATTTGAACAACTTTTGTTTTATTTATTTTTTTAATTCTCTTCCCCATACATAGGCTAATTAGCTACATATTGAAGTACAGCTTGATGCTGCTTAGGTCGCAGCTCTATCTCGGACAAAAAGCTTCTTGTCTACGCTGATGCTTTGCTGCATCTTCCTATTACAATTTAAATGTTATGTTACAGATAGCTGCACTACTGCTTTTGACAATCTAGGTCTACAAATAACTTTGTCTTATCGAAACGGAAGCTTTGTCTTGTTGAAACTTAGATGTCCTGGCAAGATTTCTCCCCCTTCTTACATTATCTGGCAAGGATAAAAAACTTTGGAAAGATCCATACTTTGATTCATCCACAATTCACTTGACTTTTTAAAATAGAAGAAAATCCTCATCTCACCCATAAGGAAACAGCAATTCTAATTACACCAGAACTGGAGAGAAATGCACAGCTTTAATCAAAACTTTAGCAATATTCTCCTCCCACCTTTCCCTTCTAGCATCACAATTACACAGTACATATTATAAAACAAACTTTAGTATCTAACTCTACAGTACTTTTCTACAAGTTACGTTCTCTTATGCAGAGAGTAAGTAGTAGTTTGAGTTTACAGTGCCATTTGTTTGGGCATCTGAAAACATCTTGCAATTCTCAAGTATTGCTTTAAGATAAGCAAGTAGACATTCATTTTACAGAATTATTTGAGAATGAAGGCATGATAACAATGTAAGAGATAATAAGTTAGTACTTAAAAGAAGTCCTAATAGGAAGAGAGTGCAATTCATTTAAATAATACTTATATATTTCAGGGTATAAACATAACTTTGTTTTTCCTCCACAGAAAGCTCAGACATTTGAGRTATTGACAAATACCAATCTCAGATTATGGTGGAAGTAAAACAGTCACAAACTGTGTGTGCGCTGTAAGCATAAACTGACTTTACAAGCAGTAAGCAGCAATACATAAGTATAGCATTGAATTTGGAAAATTAYCGTGTTATTTTTTGGTAAGGTATGAATTATGCATGCTTTCATCCAAAGCTTTGCAAGCAGAGCAGTGTCTTTTTGAAGGACCAAAGTAAACGAATCACTCGAAGAGGAGGCACGTCTACTACTCAAGAACATTTCTCCTCCTGCTTATTTAAATACAAGCAGGTCTGCCTGCATTCTTCAGCTGTTCTTGCTTCCATGTGGAAAGCATTCTGTTTCTACCAAAGTAGCCCAAGTGGAAAGCTCTTAAGATGTGTACACAGAGCACTTATCCTCAAGACATCTTAGAAAGTGTTTAAAGATTTCAGCGGACAGGCTTCTTTTCTGGAAGGGGTTCCYATTTACAGAGCTCCAACTGCTGTGAGGAACTAAGGTTCACTTCCCTAGAGAGAGCAGCTCCTCACACTGTAACTACTCAGAAAGCAAGAAAATCCTCTCACAATTTTTTTCTCACTCTTCATGCCCATCACTTCCTCAGCATTTGTGTCAGGCATCTTCCCTTCAATTGCTTTACACTGACACTTCTTTAAAGCCTGCCTAAATTTTCATAGGAGAATAATCTTGCATTTTAGGTATTAACCTGGATTATCATTTGTTAATATTGCTAATCTGGCCTAGCTCTAAATATTAAAAAAGAGCCAACAAAACACAGAAAACTTTCYCTTTTTAGCAGTATCTTGAGATGATGAAGACCAAAGTTTGAGTTTTTTGCTCTCCTGTAGCTTGTTCAAAACTTACCACATCTATTGCTGAGAAATTAYAATACATCTGCTCTTCCTCAGCACAACCAGGAGTGCAGTAAAGCTTCCAGGGCAAAGCTGGTGTTCCCTGCAGTTACAAGTCCTCTTAGACTGGCCACAGCGACCAAGTCAGTGCCCCTCTCATGTTATCCATCCTTTTTTTCTCCCTCCCACCTCCTGCCATCTGTACAGCTACTGGGAAGAGAAACACGCTGAAAAAAAACACCAAGAAAATGACAACTGGGACAGAAAAGCGTTAGGAAGAGCTGAATAAGCAAAGAGTGGAAGTTAAAAGAGGACAGGTACCGACTGGGCAGGCACAGAGGAGAGGATCTAGTGCAAGAGAACGAGGTCAGGCTGAAGCGTGGGACGCTCCTCTCTGGAAGCCGTGGGTATGCAGAGCGAACCAAAACAGGTATTTATGGGCATCAACTACAGTCTAGCTTGTAATGATAAACAGGAAGGGTCATCAAGCTTACTCCTGACTCTGCACAGGAAAGGAGTGCACCACTGAAGAAACTGCCAAGTCTACCAGCAGGAAGGGTCATCTGAACCAAATTCTTTCTGGGCAGAGTAAAGTAGCTCAGCTCACTGGTAGGAGCCAGCCTAATCGCACTGATTTTGCAGGCATGGCTTAGAGCATGCTCTGGCAATTCTGTGCCCCAAAAGCAGGAGGTACCAAGAATTTGGGTGTGACATGAATTTTCCAGAGCACAGCTAAGATCAGATCATCCACAGGCCAGGTATTCCACTTGACAGTCTAGCAGCGTTAACATATCTGCAGTCTGCAAAATTCTGCACTTAATACTGCCAGAGTGCTCTCCTGCAGACCTCCTTACACCGTGCTTGTTTGCTTTACGTCATTCCAAAGAAAACCAAATGCAGCCTTTTATCCTAAGAGAATATTTTAGCTACGCTATGCGAGTTTCAGCAATGACTTCTTCCTGGAAAGAAGGAAAATRGCCACAGGAACATGCCCTCAAATTCTGGGAACAGCTCCTGATAGTCCAACCTTTGAAGACAGATATTTCCTTGTAAGACTTTTTTTTTGTTTTTCTTTTTTTCTTACAAGAGAACTTTAACACTTCAAATATTCCAAGTCCGAAACTGCAAACAGGGTTTCATCCAGCCAGAAGTTCATCCACCCTAGCACGTGGGATGCCAGCAAAATAAAAACCTACAGTATGTATTTGTTGGGAGACAGCATCATAACGGTTGCTTTAGGTCCTAAGATGTATGTATCTGTATGCAAGTGACACTGAAATCAACAGTTACTAGCACTACTAAAACACAAAACATTCAAGTAGTATAACTGTAATGCAAGCCCTTGCATGGCAATCCAAATTTATTGAACTACTGATGCTAAGTCATACAAAATTGCACCACTTTAATTAAGGCTTTTAGTTTACATTTGGCCACCTCAAAGCAGTTGTAACATTAGGTTGGTCAATTTAAATACTGTGGCTCCCTGTTGGATATACACACAATCTTTACACCCAAACGTTAATGCATACAAAGCAACAAGGCATTGTTAAATAAATCAGCAAAAGTTAATTACTGCAACTTAGGCCCTGTGACCAATTACACATGATTAAAATTACTTCCCACATTCACATCCACAGTACTCTTCCACCATTTAACATCTCAACCAAAACGTTACACATGTAAAACAATCACTAACAGGCAAAAGTACTAAACCTGTATATTTGGTATTGCAAATACACTTATGCATGAGCAAGCAAGGGAATTCACAGTGAGAATCTAATGCTGCAGAAGCCCAAAAATGATTTACAAAAAATTGTTAAATCATTAAAAAATCGTTTTAAAATATACACTTCTTGTTGTAGACCCCCACTGTACACACAACTATAAACATTGTTCCCTATGTAAACAAGGAAAAGGAAACATACAATAAAAGGTTGAAAAGTCTGGACATTTCCTTCCCAGCAGATATTAAAGGCCGTGTCTTTAGTCAGACATTATACTGAAAGGACTCTTAAAGACTAGATCACTGTCTCCACAGGTTTCTCCTAAAATTAAAAAACTATATAGCTGTTGTGTTAATCAAAGCGCTTTTGTACAATACGATGATGATGATCCTGTATTTCTTTAAAAAAGTTACAATAAGCTACAAATACCGATGAAGCAAAGTTATCTGGAGTAGTCTATATAGGAGCTCTTTGGACTTTCTTTTATTATGCTAAAATAGTGGTGCTTTTAGGATTTACATTATTGTACTCTCCAATAGAAAGTGGGGATTGTTAAAGTATACAGTACACAGTTTTCATACATGTACAACATTGGTGGATGAACAATGTCTCTTATCAGTAATACTGGATGTAGGCTCTGGTTTTACCAGTTGCATACACTTAGAATATTTATAAGTAAAAATCTCTCGTGACACTGGAAAGTGATTAGAATGTGCAAACTGATGTAGTAGCTTTCATCCGTTTCTTAAAGGGTACCACCACAGGAAAGTCCATTTAAGATGTTGGTAGGTTTAATAAAGTTGGAATGCTGGCACTGTTGAATTGGGCAACAGTTCTTCAGACCTGGAACAACAGAACAACCTGTTAGCATCAGCAGCAGCTCCTTTCACTGTTCAGTTCTTTATTTAATGCCACTAGCTAGTCCTTGGAAAAGAGACTGGGAAAATAACCACTTTGTTTCCCCGCTGCTATCGCTCCTACTCCACATAAACAACAGGTTATCTCAATAAGTAAAACTGGAAAGAGACACAGGGGAGTAAGGGGGTTGTGGAAATCACTGCTCCTAAATTGCCCTCCTCAGAGTACTGTGAGTGACAAGCACACAATCCCTCCAGGAGCTTTTGGAGTCTTCTCAGTTTCAGTCAGTTTGAGCTACTTATATACTTGATCTCCTACCACGATCTTCCAGTATGTCAAGTGAGCAGATGACAAAGTACCCCAGTACTCATACAGGTGTGAACCACCAGCTATAATTCCATTGCTTGTGTGCTGCGTATTGTAGCTGTTCAAACAAACACTGTACCACCAAACTTGGAGTAATTGAGATGAACAGGGAATATTTACAGTATGCCAGGTCAATCAAGAGACCTCTGCTTGTCCTCAGCTGGAAGTGTGTGGGGGAAACCACACGAAAGCCACAGACAAAATTCAAGTTTGTTGATTGGCTTCTGAGAAACCTTGCTCAAGAACAGGCTGGAGTTTCCCTGAGCCTTCAGCAGTRTTCTTAGAACATGGGTTTAGCTGGGTAAAAATATTAGCCAAATGTCATTACCTAGCAAATTCATCTAGTAACCTAATAGCTGCAGGTCAAATAAGTGCTGAAACTATCATCTCACAATTATTTTCCAAAAACCACAATTGCAATGCAGCCTAGAAAATATCTATATAGCCCAGAGAAATGAAGCTTAAATTCCTATGATGCAATGCAAGCACGTGCAGGAGACCAAAGACAGAAGTGACATTTTAGCACAGAAACTACAATATTTTACAGTGTGCATTCCCAGTGATTGAGCTCTTGCAGCATATTCTACCACTTTTAAAAATAAAACCCCATTTCCAAAAGCCAAAACATTAAAGTATTAGAGCAAGGACTGTTCACCTGAGCTKTGCAAACACCTTAAGGCTGAATGAAATCTCAACCCCAGTGTGAACAGTTTACTTTGCACTTACTTTAAGCTCTGACATTGAACAGCAGAAATCAAGCTCATACACATTTCCATGTCAACGTCAAGCACATATTTTCAATGCAGTTCTGGATTTTTAATAACCATACAACAGAAAACCCTCAAAGCATTAAAGTTTACCTGGCTCAGAGCTACAGTACAGCTGTGTATTAAAGTAGCTGACATGATGACTTTTTACGTGCTTTTCCAGGCACCGGAGTTTTTCTGTTAATTTGCCGCACAAGGTCATAAAAGATCTGTGAACATAAAAACCAATTGCATATTCTCAAAAACACGCTATAAATATGCAGTTGTCACAAAGTTAGAAAGTTAAACTGTATACTCAGTGCYTGCCTACATTTTGCTTTCTAATATGATTATTTGCCAAGGATTTTCCAGCTTCTATGAAGTCAATCATAAAGGCCTCTATAATCTACACCTGTTTAATGTGCGAGTCATTTACTTGAAAATGTACAMCATATACTGCAGCCATCAACTGCTATATGCTCTTACTTTGCAATTTAGCACTCCTGCCAATAAACCAGCTACAGGTTTCTCTTTATTCAAGGCACTCTCATAACGTTCTGTTTTGTTAAGAACACGTTCTAGTAAGTTTTAACTGCCAATTTTCACAGTGACGCAAGTACACTGCCTAGTTAGTAGTATTTCCAGTATTCAAATGATACCGTATCAGGCCTTTTCAGATACTTCAGTACCTTTTTTAAACAAGTCTAGGCAATTAATTCAGCAGTCTCTTCAGGGCTACAACATGACAAAACCTGAACGTTTCCCAGAACAGTAACTGACGTATGACACATCTTCACGCTTGTTCTAATTGGAATCAAGAGACTCAGTTCCAGGGAAATGCCAATTTAAGACAAACTTAAATACAATACTAAATACAATTCAACACGTGCATTGTCATCAATATTTTTCCAATTACGTCTCCTTCTCTTAAATATTTTAAGACAAGGAAGTCTTCACGCCAAAGCCATCCTAGCAGTTTCTTAAGCACTATTCCCAAAAAAGCACACCTTCCAACAAGGATTTCTAGTGTTTGAAATAAGTTCCGACTCATTAAGCCTACGAATTTTATATAGTTAAGATGACAAATTTTTATTTCAGAAAAAAATTAGTGTCCAGAAATTCGTAACTAATTCAACATATTATTCTTCTTTTTCCTTCTTGTTGTAAATCAGATGTGCTTAAAGCCAACACACATTCAATTTGATGCAACTCTTGCACAGAGGCGCTTTGAGCTCAACTTTCACTGCCCACAATATTTTCCAGAAGACACGATGACTGCAGAATGCAACATAAACTTCAAGCTGTTCCAGAAATGCAACCACTAACACAACCTGATTTTCTATATGTTGGCATCTCCACCAGAAAAGAACACGTGTGTTCTTGTGCCTAAAAAGGCATGTGTTTGATCACTTGGTTTCTGCTAACTAGACAGTGTAGCTCTGCCTGCCTCTTCAGCACACCTGGTGAGGTTGCTTCTCTGAGCAGTGTTAATTTTGACAAAATCCATAGGAATTCTGCCACTGCATCTCTAAATTTATTACGGGATAACTGGAATCCATTAGCAAGCACATTCTCAGTGGCTACAGATTACATCAACTAAGAAATGCAAGATAAAAAAAAATGGAACCAAATAGAAGCATTTGTATGAAAGTTGCAAGTCAAAGCTTACATTATACCCTGTGAAGTCAACAGCTGAGGAAATATGACATCAGCAGGTTAAGTTTTGCCCACTATGCTCAATAAGTCTGCTTGTTTTTCCTGACAAATGGTACTGTTTGCTTGYGAGAACACTGCTACTAGTATTTGGTCTTACCTCATTAACATTTATCTTTGATTTTGCAGAAGACTCTAAGAATGCACAATTGTTCCATTGCCTTGCTAGGTTCTGACCTTGTTCCTTTCCCACAACTCTTTCGTCTTCCAAGTCACACTTGTTGCCAACCAGAATCATAGGCACCTAAAAACAAACGGTTCACACGTGAGCCAGCAAAACAATCATTACAATTTTGGGAAAAGACAGTTTTAGACACCTGAAATCCAAGTCTCAAATACTTCAAATTCTCAAACATTTCCCGCTCACAACTACGTCGAGTATGAGGGAAAAGACAAAGTCACTTTGATTTGAAGATGAATGTCTAATACTACTGTAAACTCAAAAGTGTTATATGAGAGCTTGATTATTCAGGAAATCAGGATCCCCTGCAAAAAGGTTTATGGAAGTGTTACAAAACAGCCTGCCTACTGAAGCTGGCAAACACACCAAGGAGGTACCCATGATTAGTTACAACCTGAGCCAGTTGGCCTACATATCCTGCCTGGGTAGACTCTTGTTCATCTCAAATCCTGATTTTAGAAGGATATGTCAAAGTGCAAGAAAATTAAGCACAAGCCATTTTGTCTGCAATCATATTCTGATTATAATTCATACTCCCCTTTCTTCTCACTTGGTGCCCAGGTCATTGTGATACTTATAAATGGTACCTTCCAAGTCAGACTTAGGAGGTTTATTGCTTACTGAATYACCATATAGTCACCTCAGATTTCTTCTAGGCAGCAGTGCAAAACACTGACTACAGATTATACCACCTTCTCTTGCAGTTTTCAGTCAAGGACAAAAACCTGCACAAACTTATACATTCTCAATCTGCATTACTGAAAGACTTCACATTCCATTATTCAAAGAAATCCTTTACCTGAAAGCCTGCCAAAAGAGACCAGTTTGTGTTGCGCAGGTGCTCTATCACGACACAAGTTATTTCCCCTCCAAATTACACAATTACTGTTCTATTTCTGGAGGGAGCAGGAACACAGCCCGCCATGACCCATCACTTAACTTTTAATAGTTTTCTGCAATCGTTTGTTCATACCACCCAACTGAACAGCACTATGTAGTGTGTTAAACTTACATGTTTACTTAACACTTACGTGTTAGTTTAAAACTTGCATGCTATGAAATGTTAAGTGAATGTTGCTGGAAGAACAAGGCCAAGTTGTCTACCTAAACTACTGTTCTTCATAACACAGGAAAAAACATATGAGAAGGAGTTCCTAACTTCTTCCATTCATGCTCATACAGTACAGCGCGTATTTGTTCTGCCTCTCCCAGACAGATTCATATGGACAGCAAGAAACTGGCAATACTGTGAATCCGGCGTTCACTATTCCCTCTGCACCTCCAGAACGGATAATAGATTTTAGTTTTCTCTTATGTTGTAAGCAGCACTGGTTTCATCCCCCTCCTTCAGGAAATGACTCTCAAACTTGCTCGTACTCAGGGCCAAAAATTAAGAAAAAGATTTTACAAGGCAGCTTGTAGGGGGAAAAAAAAATCCCACTATTTTTTCTTGCAATACAGGATAACTACAAAATTGAATTCCTGTCTGAAGAATAAAGATCTCACTTATCAGTAATCTAGCTGCTCGCAGAATTCAGCAACAGAACAAGAAATGGGTTAACCTATCAGCAAGGCTCTGCAATACACATTTTACATGTTGAATTCACTTACTGCTACCTATTCATATAATAAATAATACTGACCAGAGTACAAAGAAAGATTTGCCACAGGACGGTGAGATAACATGCCTTAACTTTATGAAACAGTAGCGAAACAACAAATATCTCCATTCAACTGGATCAGAATTTAAWTTTTTTACACTGAAAAAAAAGTGATAAAGATAGCAAAGGCAGGAAAACATAATTCTCTAGATAAATAAATAATTTCACTGCAGCAGAAACTGGCAACTTCTCCCAACAGTGACCTGCAGTTCCTTTTCTCTCAGCTTAGATGTTCTCAAGCAGCCTGGACAGCTTAAGAAATGGGAAGATGGGAGTATTTAATACAATCCTTTGGCAGCCAGCACAGAGATGAGAATCAGGACAAGTCGCAGAGCTAATGGGCTTCTGGGAGGCTTCACCAAGGCAAACCAACAGAAAGCTACRCAAGATACTGCTGGTCTCTTGCCAGGCTCTTATGGCCCCATCAAGAAAATCTTCTCCAGCACTGCCCTATCTGCCCATCAGCAGATTTCTCCAAACTTCTCAGTTACTGTACAGTGAGGCAGGCAATATTCCTGCGTTATTATACTATATTTCTATCATATAAAACCAAGGTTCCATTAACACTGTTTTTCTGATTGGGAATCAGTAAAAACTGTTATCTATGATTTTTTTGCTTCTTCCAGTAAAAAAAAAATCCACAAAAAGATCCCACTGTTTGAATGTGCATGATATTGACTGAATGAGAAACTGCTAGAAATTACATCCTGGGAAAGTCTAGTGTAAGCATACATATACACACCACTCCATACATTATGCATAAACACATGGGACATGTTTCTTCTTTTGTACAGCCATTTGTCAGATAAGAAATTACCTAAAGCAACCAAAAAGTGTCTAGCAGATAAGAGGAAAACTGGAAAACAGATCCCTATACTAATGAGGGAGCAACATTAATGCTATGAAACCACCATTCTTTCCCCTCCTCCCTTTGCTTTGAGGGAAAGGGCGGGAAAGCAGGATAGCAAGTGACACCAAGGCAGCTATGGCTGCATCGCGATCCAAAATGACACGCTTAAGGCTCTCACTTCCATCTGAAAGTCAGACAAATATCCGGGCATCAGGCAGGAAGCATGGGCAGCAGGTTGGGAATGTCAAAGGCGTGCTGGGTATATACAATATATATGGATATATATGCTGCCAATTCAGCAAGTTCCACATGTTTGTTCTAGATGACCTCATGAGATTTTGTTTCTACATGCACAGCTGTCACTTGTGAATGTTAAAGATATCAAGCAGTCTCCTGAAGAATCTATTGCAACATTCTTACGCGTCTGGGAAAATCTCGGAAAAAGTAGGTGGTACTAGGTGGTCCAATGATGGTCCTAAAGCTCCCTTTGCCACTCCTCTCCTAGCAAATCTGCACTTGTTTCAGGAGCATTTTGCTCCCGGTCCTTATTAGTAGTGAGATGATACAAAGAGATGCTAAATTGACCCTTCACAAAAGGAAGCTTTATTTAAAGGATTATAATATTTTTTATCTTTGAGTATTTCCCTGCTGAGAAAGCAAGCCATGCCTAAGCTCTAGCAGAGGAAAAATTTTAATGGAAATTTTGGTGAGGAGATCTGAAATGACCACCTGAAACTCATTATTTTTCTCCTGTTATCGTGGAATGGCTTTCAAGACTGGAAGGGATTTTCTAAAAAGACAATACAGGAAAGACAATTCCAAAACACATTAGCAAAGAAGAACGCCAGTCAGAAAAAAATACGCCATGAAAACTAAGGCTTAATATCAACCCCCTCCCCGCCATTTATCTTGCTTGAAAAAGCAAAGGGCTCTATGCTGTAAGAATCACAGTGAAGTTCCCTAAAAGTGAAAATCTGATAGATCCTGGCATTGACAACAGGACATCTGTAGCTAGGTATGTGCARTAATGAAGGGACCACGACAACATTCATGCACACAATTTAAATGCCACAGGCAGAGCTGAAAGCTAAAATATTTAATGCTTTCTGCTTACATTTCCCCACCACCACCAAGAACAAAGTTTTATGGCTWGTGGCTACAACTTAGTGATGTTTTGCACTAGAAATATCTTGCTCATAGAGAATGAAAGTCTTACTTATAAGTTTATGTTACAGTCAAGCGCTTTCAGAATTACAGCTTAGCTAATAAGCACTAAATATTTACTTTCTATAACTGTAGTAAGTTCTATTACCTGAAATTTCTCAGCCTCATTTTCTAACCTCAATAACACAAGAAAGAAGTGCATATTAAACCTGTGTAGATTGTAATGTAATATAAGTTACATGTAAGTTACCATGTAAGTTGAAATAACAGGAAAATCTTCCAAAAACTTTTCGATTTTGTGCTTTTTAAAATCATAAAGGGAAAACATATTAGAGCATTACAACTATATTTTTAAAACTATATCCATTAAAAAGCAATAGAGGGTAAGGCAGATTTGCTTCAGACTTTTTTTCTGCAGTGCTACTGAATAAGGCTACGTAGATTCAAATATAGTACTTTAGAAGGGGAAAAAATTGAACACCTAATTCTCTTTACATACCACATAAGAAGAGTCACAACTTGCGCCAGTTTGCCTATTTATATCAAGAGTTATATTTCAGTACAACACTTGTGTTGGTTGGTCTGACTTTTAAATTAAAGTTTGGCACATATCTAATCAACATCTATAACGAGAATAGCAAGTCTTAGGCATTTTCAAGGCTGCTTACATCATCAGTGTCTTTGACTCGAAGAATCTGTTCTCTTAGATCCTGTAAATCATTAAATGTGGACTGTGCTGTGATGGAATATACTAATGCAAAACCTTGWCCATTTTTCATGTATAGGTCTCTCATTGCTGTAAACTGTTCCTGTAATTAAAAAAAAAATAAAAATTAAAGATGCTGCTTTCAATTTGCACTTCCCCTTATGCTTCAGGTTATAGTTATCACAAGTGTGAAGCCCACCCCTCCCCCCCTTTTTTTTTCCCCACTAACCAATATTTACCTATTTGGTCATACATGTTTTAGTAAATTGAACAACTCTTAAATAAAACAGAAGTTTGTAACACACTCTGGGGTGCTGAATGTTGTCTAGAGACTGTCTAGGGCTACCAACCTAGAAAAAATAATCAGCAGAAAACTCGAGCAATTCCCAGAGAACAAGTAGAAGAATTACAGAAATCCCATTCCCCTGACATATCAACTCTTTCTCATCTCCTACTTCTTTAAGACATGCGGGAGAACAACTCCATCTCTTTTCAGCCCCCAAATTTATAGCCCAGACACCTTCCTATGTTAAATTCTTGTGTACTTGTCAAGAGCGTTGGATAGACGATGGGGAACGTCAGCAGGCTTGTCACATTTCCCAGGTGCTGGTGAGAGCAGTATATAATGTCACGTGTGCAGACTCAGGGGCGCACTGCAATGTTAGGACTTCCTGCTGCTTGAAAGCTCTCACTAGTGACACTGTGGAGCAGCATTTGCCTTTCTGGCATTGGTAGCTCAGCCACCTTGTGACTAAATACTAAACGAGTCTCTCCTCAAATGAATCTCTCCTMTTACTTTAATTATCACATTTTAGAAGTTCTTCAGCCAAACATTCGTCAAGTCTACGATCTTGAACTAAAATTTCATCCCACTTCCCCTCTTTCACATGATACAATTCTTCGTAGTGGAGCAGACTTGGGGCATGCTATTTTAACTCAAGCCATCACTATGTCTTAGCTTGTGATCAGGGGCAAATTCTTACATCAAATAGCATCAATGCTTTCAGAATGATGTTTGACATATCAGAAGCAGTTTTACAACTGTAATTTTAAAGGTTTCAACTGTATGCCAAACCCCTATCCAGTGAGATTTTACATGTTTGTACCCATATCCTATGTTTCATATCAACATTCTCTGCTACAAYTGAACCAAATACTGTATGACAAATTAAAAACATAATGTATTTGAGAAAACAGTCTTTCCAACTTCCTATACTTTTACACAGCATTCCTGACAGAGTTTCAATTAATGGCTATTGAACCAGATTGCTGTTACAGATGAGAGAAAACATGCTATGTTCCATGGGTCTTGAGTCAACACTCTTCAAATCAATGAGAGAATCAAGCAATTTCGGTAGAAATCACCCAGAAAAAAGTAAACATAACTCACCAGGATGTAAAAAGTCAGCATAAACCCTGTGCTTTGAGTTCACATAAGCTGACGAAAGCATTACTATTTTTATCCCAATGTCAGAATTCATTTCGCAAACACAAGGAAAAGGAGAGGAGAGGAAAGCATGGATTCTCTGCAGCAGTGAAAGTTAAAACTGTTCACTTTAGTAACCATTAGGCCTAAATTTACTGTAGGCAAACTTAAACAGCAGTGCAGTCAGCTTTGTAATGCTCAGTCCTGCATTTCCCCTATTACAGTATAAGGGATCACAGGAAACTTGCAATTCTTGTGCTGCTGTAATACCTCTGAGCTTTGTTTAAATATGGTATGGCAAAAACAATCTTTACCCAACACGCCCATGTGAGTTGCCCTTTGGAGAAGGAAACACCTGCCACGTCACAAATGAGACTCCCGCAAGTTTTGATGTCTTTAACACTTAGCAAAGTTCATTTTACATACCGTTCCTGCAGTATCTAATATTTCAAGCATACACTGTTGTGCATCTACTTCAACTTGCTGCCAAGAGAGAGAGATCCGGTTAGAACATTTCCTCTTGCAACACTCCCCTCCAAAGACATTAGGCACTGYGTGATTTTATAAGGAAATTTATAATGCATAAGGCAACATAACGGCATAAGAAGTTTATATGGGTATACACTTTGAGCACAGCAGGAAGAAGCTCTCCAAAGAGTCCTAGTGACATTTCCAAAAGAAGCTTCAGCTGTCAAGTACCAAGTGATGAGGCAATTTTGTCTATTAAAAAGCAGGTTGCTAAGTTTGCAATAATGGTTACCAGCAACTAGGCACAACCAATTTCTATTTGTTTCAATGATCATTTACAGACTGAAAAGTAGACATGAAAGCTGCATAGTTGGACTGCCACACTAATGGCCATTTAAGAGTAATTTAGATCAACAATAGAAGGAGAGGTTCATAGCTTGCAATACACTGAGCAAGCCAGCATGACTGGTCTCCCCAAACTAAGCCATTAGTGACTTATTCAGCTTTAAAAAAAATATCTTCCATAAATAGAAAGTTTAAGGCAGATCAGTCTACCTATCCAGTTCCCAGGTCCTCTATCTAGTTTTGACCTCTAAAGGAATGGTTGCGAGGGCAGCACAGAACACAGAAGTGCCCCGAGGCTGCTTCAAAACAGGAGACTTTCAGCTGAAGCAATAACACAATCTGGCCAAGTTTTCGTTTTCCCCTCTTTTAGGCTATCAGCACCCATCACCTCTTTACATTTGCATGTAGAATTCCTGGTTGGCTGATCAACACACCCTGGAAGAGCTCYGTTTTCTTCCTCCCCAATATATGCATTATCACTAGCTTAACTGTGGGCATTATTTTTGTAACTAGATTTAAGTTTCAGCAGGAAAAAATATAAATTTCTCTTCTCTTCACTTTTTTCCCCCCACCCCATCTCTCATATACAACTCAACATAAAGATTCCCTTAATAGCCATTGTTTTACCATATATAGGTGGCAAATATATAGTGCTCAGTCAACTAAGCAGCATTTATTCTCTTCAGGGAGAAATATTCAGGGAATAAACCAAGACTTCAATTTTCAAGAATTATGTTCAATTAGCTTTAGAATGCTGTTTCAGACAAACTTTAAATATTTAAAGTCACATCCTTTCAACTTCAAGGATTTCTAAATTAGACTTAACCAGTACCAAACTGCAACTATCAAAACAAAATGCTTTAAAACACCCAAGTCAAGAAGCAACCTAAAATGCTAACTAGCAGGGGGGGAGGGGGAACAAAAAGAAATCAAATACACGAAGTGTTGTGCAGACTTAAGTCATATTTTAGTAATCAGACTGATTTGAAAATAAAAGTTACAAAGAGTCATTTCAGGACCAAGCCTAAAATGAATATTTTTAAGATCTTTGCTTAAAAAAAATATTGAAAGACAGAATTGCTTGAGATGGCTTCGCTTTTCAGGGTTCATGGAAACTTCGTGGAATTTTCTTTTGAACATTCATCCAATGAACATCACAAATCTAACATGATTTGAAGAATGTAAATATATAAAAGAAACATTTCAGTTTGGTACAGCTTGCAATTTCCAGAGTCATTTATTGCAGGCCTTTGCTGGGTCAACCCACCAAACATCTGGATAGGGTCCAAAACTCCCGCTCCTCTAATATAATGTACTTAAAGGAAGGAAGCTGCCAGACAGAATCTGTTATTGCTCTTCTCTTTTTAATATGACAGTTCTGGCTCTGGCTGATTCCTCACAATGCTTAAAACAGATCAGGGTTTCCCAGCATACAGATTTCCATCAGCTCTCTAATTCTCTAGTATAAATGCAGGCTACTGCCAACAGAGGAGGTGCTGCAATTTCTCCCCATCCCCAGACAGGGCTGGTGCAGCTTTCCTTCCTCAAGGAAACACTGGCATTTTTGTGACTACATGGTGAGCTGCATCAGAGAATCAATAGATCTGAAAAGTAATTCACCTTAAAAATAAAAAAAWAGGAAATAAATACAGCTGAAAACTAATCTGCTTCACCACACAGGTGTAAAGCCATCACAACCTTGAGTATTAATCATGGTCTCAGCTTAAACCAATTAAATGAGCAGTATGGAGATTCAAGATGATGCAAGTGAAGAATATATAATCACTAGATTTTTTTTATGGTTATATTTTTTGATTTTTTTTTTAATTCTGAGCATAAAAATATCATTTTTACTTGCTAGCTAGCAAGACAGTATTAAAACTCTAGTTAACAACACTAACAGCAAGCATAACAACARATTAGCAAACAACTTTCTGTCTGTAAGTTACCAGATACTATGTGGCAATTACCAGGAAAGCCTTTTCTCAACCAATGACTCCAGTGTTTGACAATATTAAATCCTTAATTTTTGTAAGAAGAGAGATCTGTCMCATATACCTTTCTGTAGGAGTCCTCTATCGTAGGATCGTATTTTTCAACAAATATTCCTTGAACAAACTGTACGGTCTGCAACACAAAAATTTCAGCAAGAATTTTACAAATAATTCATAAACATTATATCCAAACTACTGTTCTCTATATACATTTAATTACCAGTCACATTTCTGAAAACAAGTTAAGGGATTGACTTAACTATAAATTAAAAGAAATCAAAGGAAGATAGAGGTATATGCCCATTTGGCTAAGTACCATTAAATAAGTAACAGCAGATCTTTTGTCCACCTTCATTTGGAGTATAAAAATTAAAGCATACATTWTAAATGTTTATCTAAAGGTTGGTGTCCTTAGTGTTTTTTTTTTTTTTTAATAGGATACTGCAGAGCTGCATGGCTTTTACAATTTGCATTTATAACTACTGCATATTCTGCTACTCATTTATCAGCACGGAAAGTAGTGAAAATTTTAGTAGTCTTAGCTAGTCTCTATGAGATATTCCTGTATACCTAGCATGTAGGACACCTTTAACAAGTGGAAGTGTAAGACTCGGTCAGAGAAAAGACAGGTCCAATTCAGGAAATGTTGTGGTAAGATAAAGAATTTAAGGGTGAAGGAAAAAAGTTCTTTCAGAATCTAAGGCGATTTATCRAGAATATTTTAGAAACCGCTTTGCAAGAGAAGAGTTCTTACTGACTACAGCAGATCTGTACACTTTGTAAGGTGCAAAATTAAACTGGAAGATCTAAAGTTAATACAATATGATATTCTCAGTCTCTCTAAAGGTTTTGTAAAATACTAGCCTGGATCAGAGTAACTACATTCTTCTGTAGCAGTTTAGCTAAAAATGCATGGGCTTTTTGGTTTATGGCAGTCTACCTGCTACAACTACACAATTGCTTATGGGAAAATACATTTAAAACAAAACAAAAAACAAACAAACAAAAAAAACAAACATGCTAACATATCTATAGATATGTAAATGGRTAAAAGTCACCAGCACAAACTAGTGCTTCTAGGACCACCATCAAAAGACAAGCAGCATCCCAGATTTTCTGGAGACAGAAGTTAGTAAAGACAGAGAGTGGGAAACCTATCCACACCACCAGTTTCACAAAGGAGCTTGATTTCCCACAGACATAAGGCAARGTTATCAAGCAAAGCCAGAGACTTTTGTTGTAACACTTTGGTTAGATGCTTCACTGCACAAAACAGCCAAAGACCTGAAGAAACATCAACCAAATCAGTCCCCAAACACCTGCATGCATGTTTAACTGGCACCAATTGATGCAGACACATCTAAGAAGTGCTCTCAGAAAGGTGCAGTAAAGGAAATACCTACGTTAGTCAAGAACTCTCAGCAGTCACTACTTGCATTTGTTAGCATTTGTGCACACTTCCACAGAACAGAAAGAGCATAGAGGAGAAAAAGCAAGACAGGAGAAGCCTATGAAAACATGCTGGAATTGGCGTAGAGCACTTACCAGAGCAGACTTTCCAACACCTCCAGAACCAAGAACCACTAGCTTGTATTCACGCATGATGCAAGAGATAAATCACCTCCAATACCTAAAAAGCACAATGAATTATTCAATAGTTTTGTTCAATAGGACTATTTTAGCATTATTAAAACAGTGTTACCTTAGTCATCAAATCATGGACAATTAAATACTGATATTAACTGATCAGTGCAGAGTAAATACCATTAGAGGCAGTATGCAGGCATAATCTAAGCAGGATGTCATTTTATACACAATACAGAAACAGAATCCATGGATCCTTACTCCAGATATTCACAATACTATTAACTGCTGCCCGGTGCTACTTCATCTAGCACATAAAAACTACCTCTGAAATTTTCTTGTTACCAGAACTAAGAGTCAGAAAGTCCCCTTGTTCTTCACTCATTATTTAGAATAACTTAGCTAGCATATCTAGCATAGTCAAGACAGCACAAAAAATTTTTCTAGTAGAGATTATTCTATTTCACAGAGTAGTAATTTAGAGAAAAATAGAAAACAGATTAGGATTATGTAATTATTAGATCTCAGCATCATAATCTTGCCAAAATACCACAGSGAATTTAAAAGCGCCAGCACACAGTTATCTGGAAGATCTGCTCACACCTCCATGCATTTGTTAGCTTCTCAAAGTCCTCTAGATGGGTTCATAGCCTTTAAAGTAGGCAGTAATTTGGCAAAGAAACTCATGCACTCCTGTGAGGAGGCCAATTACTTGTATTATAGCACTCCATCAAATGAGATGGCATCATCTCCTGCCTTTCTCAGAAAGCTGCATTGCCTTTTCTAGCCCTGCAAAGAAATCTCTAGGAGCTCCCAGGAACAGTCCCACCAAGCACTCGGGTGTTTCACAAAGGTCTCTYTCACTCTCTTCACCCATCTCTTTCACTCTAAAAGTTACTTGCATTATAAAGTAGGAGGAGAAAAGATCTCCTAGGAGACACACAGGTACCTAGAGGTCTTGCAGTTTCGTGGCCACTACATATAGTCTCCTGAGTATGTTTATCAGAGAAACTACTAGTAATATTTATTACCTACAGTACTGATACAATATTCTAGGAAAGTTTCTTAAATTCCACAGCACAATTCCTCAATTTCCCAAGCATCTTTTAGACAGTGTGGGTTGTTTTATACTTGTGTCTGACATGCATGAAAACACCTTCACCATTTCCTCTGACTAAAGCATGAACACGCTGACAAAAAACACACAACAAGCAAAGCAAAAAGAATACACACACAGAGGATGGTAGAGTTTTTTTTTTTTTTTTTCCTCATTTTTAGAAGACAACCACATCTCTTTATTAGTATATTTTGCTTACTCTCTATACATACAGAGTTTGTAGACAAAACTTGAGTCAGCAGACACACCGAGAGAGCAGACTCGGGGTAACACAATCCTGCACACTAGCACAATTGGATATAAAGGCTTCCTCCCTTTYAAATAAAATATACAACAGCCATAACCTACTCCTAATGTAGCTACAAGAACACATTGCAAATGATCAGTAAGCAGTATCTTTTCTACCATGTTACTGTTCTTACATGAAAGAACTTCTAAATAACCCCCCTATATTAAAGCTAACAGCAACTGTTGATAGGCAACATCTATGAGGAAATAACACACACTTGCTTTCTGAGAGACTTAGATGCTGAACAAGGAATCCTTCACAGCAGACTTGCGTAAGAACACGAAACCAAGCCCTTCCCAGCAAGGGCACATTTCTCAAAAAGAACAGCAGAATCCCAGAAATCAGTCAAAACCAAGTCCCCACTCAAACATGAAAGCTGATTAATGTTTTGCTACAGCCTTAAATGCAGTTACACCAGCTGTAGTATTGTGACTGCATTTAAGGCCATCCAAACAACCAGAGACCACTCCTCTCTCATAAACCAGATCTGCCCCTGCTCAGGGCGCTGCACCTAGCACTGCATCAGATTGCTCGTCTCTGCTGAAAACTCTCTGTGCAAAAGCAAAACAAGGCCCTGAATCACAGGCTTTAATGAGGTGACTAGGCCCAGGGCCACGTTTTGTGGACAAGCCTGATTTATGCTGCTCAAGAAATTGCACCTTTTGCTTACAGTTTTGTTAGGAACTGAGCTGAGGGAGCTGCTTCTGCTGCTAGTGCTAGCTGCTAGGTCTCGGTCTTTCCCTGTGCTGGCTCTGGCACTTACCAAGCTACCTGCTCTTTCCTTTCCAGCAGAAAAGTGACTTCTTTCCCCATGTGCCCAGACAGAAAAGGTTAGGGAGGGCAAGGGAAGGCAATCCAACAGAGGCAATGGTACRAGGTGAGTGGCAGGAGCAAGATGAGAACTCCCCTCTCAGCAGTAATTCCCCACATCGCTCAGATCACGCTATCTACTAGGTGCTCAGCACACACTAGAGCCCCTCCATGTCAAGGTCCCTCCATGCCTTCCTTGATTAATACCACACTATCCATCTCCCGGGAAATCAAGAAGTCAGCTACTAATTCTCTTCTTGTAAACACACTGCGAGCAACTTTTTGCTTATTGAAACCTTATGTTGCACCTTGAATAAGCAATGGGGATGAAGTGGGTCTCTGCCAGACTTTTGATACCAAAAGCCATCAGAACTCTTTGGCAAGGTTCACACCTAACAAAAACATCTTTCCATCCTTCTCTATTATTCAGTTTCTTCCCTATACAGGTTTTGGTTTGTTTGTTTTTGGGGTTTTTTTTGGGCTATCAGGGACTACTGGGAACCATTGCACACCACACATCTAATGCATTTGGCACCACTGTAAATATTCTATTAGATCCACAGAACTAAGTCATCCAAGTCTTCCTACAAACTGTAAAATATGGGATTCTCTCTAACTGTACTAAAATGTGTCTTTCAAATTTGTGTCATATTAAGCCTTTAACTACTCTACCTGTCACTTTCGTAAAAGAAACTTTCAGTTACATCTTTATTTTTGGAAAGGTGTCACTAGAATGCCAAAAAAATCTTGGTGGGTGTAGGGGAAATCCCAGCATAGATTTAAGTAATCTGGGTGAACTGCAGKGGTTTCACTGTTAGAAAGAATGGTCTAAGCAACATTTTTCAATCTTCAGCCTCAAATCAACAATCCAATATGCAGATGTCAATGATGGTGATCTATAAATAAGAACTGATGCAGCAGCAACCAAATGTCTCGTTTTACCTCCTGGTTTGGGACTCATGATAACTTTTCTTACCAAGTTACATAATTCCTAAAGGAAATTCCAAATCCTGCAATGAAAATTCTAGCAACCTGGTTTAAGTACTGATAATTCCATTTTGTCTCTTGCTTAAAGAGGAATTCGTGAGAATTTTATGCATGCCAAGGCTTCTTTTGGCATCTAGGTTTTAAAGTCCAGCTCTAGACATGCAATTGATACCCAACACTCTGAACAACATATCACTATTTTCTTAAGCATAACTGAAGCCTATGTACATAACTGAAATGCACAGATAGACCATTTTGGCTTGGTTAGGTAACCTYCAGCATCTTGGAAATGCCTAAGCAYGCGGTTTTTCTAGTATCTTGAGCTCCTGCAAGTGTTGTGCTCCTGTCAATGTGTTGACTCCCATATCTCCTGACTCCTTCTCCCAGCTCAGATGAGCAAGGGAAGCGTCAACTAATTCCTCCTTGCAGCAGTTCCATTCTCTCACTCGCACCGTTACTCCTTGTCTCACTGTCTGACAGCATGTGGGAAAAGGGCCACGTCTCTACTTTGCATAGCTGTCCCAATGTCACCTCACCTTAATGGCTCAACTCACAGCTGGGTAAACTTTCCTAAGCAAGGCATTTTGCCCTGATTGCAGGTCGTCTTCTCAACTCAGAAACCAGCAGTCTAGAAAGCTAGAAACTGGTTTTGGACAGTGCTGGCCTGTCCCACTCTGGTACGAGAAATTCCCAGCACTTGCTCCTTGCTGAGCAGCATGCCTGCTGCTGCAGACGTGCCCCAGCGATGCARCACTCCGAGCCCGCCTGAGCTCGACTTGCCAGCAATTCCTGACTAGACTGGCTCAAACTCACACCACACACTGCACAGGCWGGCGGCTTGTGTCCCAAACCTCAATCTTTCTCTTTGCTTTCCAGGCAGATAGAGCAACAATGACAGTGGAACCAATACTCCATTCAACTCCATCCCATGCCAGCATGAGTTGATTTCCCTTTTGATTCAGCCAGAACAAATAAGGGAAGCAAAGGAAGAAGACAAGGCTTAAGAAAGGAGGCTCATGCCATAAAAGCAACCCAATCTTGCAGTTGCTTTCTAGAATTTGAAGCAACAGAAGCCAGYAACTTTCAAATTGACATCAAAGCAAAAAGTTTGACTGCTGGAAGATACACATATTACAAAACATGAGATACAAATCAAGCTTAAGGTAGCTGGCATTTTTTTTGCCAGAAAATATTTCCCTAATAATTCTCAAGCAGCTAGTGGACTAACTGAACTATCTGTTTATGACTCCTCCCCTTGCATTTCACAACATGCGTTCCCTTCCCTTTCCCACACACAAGAACACAGAAAGGTATTACTGGAAGAACTTTGGAAGAACTTGTAATTATAAAGCCACTTGTGCAGTCAATAAGACAGAGCCCACAGCAGCATCTTCAGAGTAATTCTCAGCAGTTCATGCTAACCATGAGATCCATGATATTTCAAYGACAAACTTTTAATTCAAAAGCTATCAGAAAGCCATTACACTACTTAACAGGGAGAGGTGAACAGATTGCTAGATCACAGCATCTGAGTCCTTCAAAYGAGAAGGCAGCTGCTTATGTGTTTCCTCATCTGGAGCTTAGCAGTCTAAAGCTATACTGTATCAGAGCGTGACTACAATTTCTATAATGAGATAGGGCAAAGGCCAAGAACAATATTTTTGTTAACCGAGTACAGGATATGCTTAGTCTCAGTTCACCAAAATCCAGGAAAAGGACTAGAAAATGGATATACGCAAAGGGGCACAGCAGAAGGGCTGTGACAGCCAGCTGAGTGAAAGCCGAGCAAAAGAACTCTAAACTAACTGCATGCTAGTTGTTGAGAAGTATCCATAGAGCCACCCGACAACTGGAA